CTTGAGCTACAGAATTGATGGATCAAACTGTAATCAACAAGATTCATATCTTGCCAAATCACGCAGTTAGAGGTGTAGCCATGACATGGTGATGTTAACACCATGGCATGACACGAAACAGAGCTTACAGAGGCCTTAAACCGAAAACAACTGAACCTAGACATGGACACATAAGATAAATCATCTACTCCCTCCGTTCCGAATTACGTCTTGGATTTGTCTAGATAGAGATGTATCTAGACTCATTTTAGTGCTAGATACCTCCGTATCTAGACAAATCTAAGACAAGTAATTCGGAACGGAGGGAGTAACTGGCTGAAGCACATCTGTTCTGAAGAAGAATCCACAAAGGCTTGAGCTTACCTTCCCTGTGACTGGCAGAAGGTGAAGACTGGATGGACATGTTATGGCCCCGGACACCTCACGCGGTTAATTCATGTTTCAGAAGTACTTGCTTTTGATTGTGATTTTGTAGCTCCTAAACCATATATTAATAGAATATAAATGTTGGTGAAAACATGCCTGGCCAATCAAAATGCGCTTTATAAACTGGGGCTGATGGAGTACTTACTTAACTGGATCCATTATTTCTAACGAATGGACCACATGTGCTGCTGTTACGGTACCATAGACAGCACTTGTAGCTGCGTAACACCAAGCAGACAGGACTAAATTATTGTACCAGCACAAACTTTTTCTGTTGATGAAATAGGTGACTGCGCCGCAGCGAAAACAGTTAGGCACAACCGCACAAGCTGTGCAGACCCCAGCATCGTTCAAAGGCAAGTTTTTGTAGATAAAGAGAAAACATCTGAACTTGATGAACACACAAATTAGAGCAGCAACGCTCTATGGCATGTCGAGTTGCTACCAGGTGATCTTCTCAAGATCATGTTTAGTACTCCCTCCGTTGCATAACTCTTGTCGTAGGGAGTGTATTGATCGTTAATTACGGCAAAAAACTGCTTCTTAATACATACTACTACAAGGAAGTACTTATTTTTTGTTGTCGTTTTCACATCACATAAGCCGTAGCATAATTGTTGGTCAAAACTTTGTCTGGGCAATCAAAATATGCTTTATATATCCTGACAGAGGGAGTACTTGCTAAATTGGATTCCCTATTTCTGGTACTTGCAGCTGCATCAATAGTAGAACACAGCTTAGTCATAACAAAGTTACCATACAAGTAGCAGCGACTAGACAATTGTTCATCCCCTCACATTGATGAGATGAGCATTGTCAGATAGCTGTATTGGTGAGACAAGCAGAATAACCATGACACAAAAATAGGTGACTGCAGTGGCAGAACAGTTTAGGCATAGGTTTGACACAGGATCCAGCATCGTTCCATATGCGCCAACGCAACAGAGAAGTTGATAAAATGAGAACATCTGAACCTAAGAAAACCAAAATTATTAGGGCAGCATCAGATTGAAACAATACAAGCCGTCGATTTGAGCTACAAAACTGGATGAAGCAAACTGCCAAATTCTACTATCATAAATAACATTACTGTCATCAAGATTCATATTCGACCAAGTCATTTAATAAGAGATATAATAGTCATGCCATGGTGATGTTACACCAGGACATGCCACAAAATAAAGATTACAAAGGCTTTAACAGAAAATAACTGAATCTGGACACGGACACGTAACACAAATCGTTTAGCAGTACTCATCTAGCTGGCAGAAGCACACCTGTTCTGAAGAAGAATTCACAAAGACCAACATCATTCTAAGAAGATTGCCATAGTTCCCAACTAACTTCCATATCGATCCAAGATGAAAGCTACATATCTCATTTAAGGTACTACAAGGATCATCATCTAGCTCGTGCCTTGAGGTGTTTGGTTCGGTCTCGGAGCTTCCGAATTGACAATGTAGCAGCCCAGTTCTTATTTCGCGTCCTTCCTGAAAGGAAGGGAGGATGCCGTGAGAGTTTGTGGGTCGTAGCGGTTTATATTGAAGGACTGTATGAATTCATGGCAAACTTGGATTCAGGCAGGCATGTTTGTCTGTCTCAGGTTGGCATCATAGATGGGATATGCTGCTGCTGGGCATCATCAGGTGGTAGACGTTTGCCGCGGTAATGCTGTGCTGTTGCTCTGAAGATACAGAGGCACATGCAGATGTAATTTAATTAATGCCTTGAACATACTCGGCGAAAATGAGAACCGGTGTAAGATGAGTTAGAAACATACTTGCTGGAATGGCTATCCAGTTTCCCTTTTTGTTCCAAGCTTTGTCTTTGCCGTGACCATGAAGAAAGTGAACACTAGAAAATCTTCTGTCCCAGGAAACCTCACAATCATTGTGATTTTGTATCACATAAACTTTCTATCAGTAGAATAATCGCTGGACAAAACACTGTCTGACCGATCAAAATACGCTATATATAGCCAGACAGAGGGAATCCTTACTGAACTGGGTTGCTTGTTTCTGGTGAATAAGCCACATGCGGTGCTACAGTGCTTAGAACACCAAGCAGTCATCATAACCACGTTGCTGCACCGGTACAAGCAACACTGCTAGATTCAACCTTTTCAGTTGATGAAATTGCTCAGCCCCTCAGACTGATAACATGAGTTTGTTAGCCAAAGTGGCGAGACAAGCAGAGTAACTGAATAACACACCACACAAAAATATTCGACAGTGCCATGGGCAAACAGTTAGGCATAAGTTCAGACAAGACTCCAAATCTTTCTACCAAGATGAGCACCAAGAAGACAAAAGAAAAGGCTATGCGTTTCTAGATGTTAGAATTGTAGATAAAAATAGAATAACTGAACTTGAGAACCGCACATACTAGAACCGCATCAGATTGAAACAATAGAAGCCGCCAATTTGAGCTAGAAAACAGGACGAAGGGAGTTGGAGAATTCTACTATCATTATAGTGTTATTATTACTTTCACGTCATTTAATAAGCGATATAGTCATGCCATGGTGATGTTAACACCAAGACATAACATAAAACAGAGCTTAAAAATGCCTTAACTGAAAATAACTGAACCTGGACATGGACACTTGGGACAAAAAAACATTTAGCAGTACTGGTCTAACTGGCAGAAGCACAGTTAACATCAATCAATCTAAAAAGAAAAACCATCTCAAATTCTTAACTACTACGTACGACTTTAGGAATGAATTGCCATAGTTCCCCACCGACCACTGTCATCTTAAGGCCCGGGCACCCCAAGATCACGCGCCGAATTGTATTCAGAAGAACTTATTTTTTATGATGATTTTATACTATCACATAAAACTTTCTGTTAATAGAATAATAATCATTGGACAAAACTCTGTCTGACCAATCAAAATACGCTTTACGCATCCAGACAGAGGGAATACTCACTAAACTGGACTCCTTGTTTCTAGTGAATACAATAGTCCACATGCGGCCCCAGGCATGTTTTGGTGTCAGGCATGTTTGTCTCTGCTTGGGCATCATAGATGGGATAATATGCTGCTGCCAGGAATCACCCGGGAGACATTTGCAACGGTAATGCCGTATAGTTGTTTTGGAGACTGCATAAATAATTTTATACCCTTGAACATACTCGACGAAAACAAGAATCGGTCGTGGAAAAGGCAGCTTAACAAGTATTCAAACATTCGACTATGGATCAGATCTGTTCAAATTTGAAGACAGATCTAGTGACGTTTGAATAAATACTTGCTGGAAGGAATGGGCTTGTATCCAGCATTTTCTTTTCGGTTCCCAGATCATGTTTCCTGTGACCATATGAAGGCAGAACACTGGACACCTTCTGGCCCAGGGCACAATCAAATCAAAAGTAATTCCTACCAAAAAGTAGCTACTCTTGATTTGTGATTTTATATCACTTAAACCCTATGCTAACAGAATAATTGTGATCGAAATGTTGTCTGAACAATCAAAATACGCTTTATATGGCAAGGACATAGTAAGTACAGTACTTACTATATTGAACTCCTCATCTAACATGTGGTGCTACAGTATTACTGCACCGGCAGGAGCAACTAGAATTGAACCTTTTCAATTGATGAAATTGTGCAGCCCCTCATCAGACTGATAACATGAGATTTGTTGGCCAGGCTGGTGAGACAAGCACATAGCACACCACATAAAAATGTTTTTCTGTGTCCGTAGCAGAACAGTTAGGCATAAGTTCGGCAAGACTCCAAATCTTTCTACCAAAATGAGCATTGTTCCACATCCATGTGCACCAACACAGCAGAAAAGGCTGTGTGTGTGTTTTTACTTTTTAGATGTGAAGAAGTGTAGATAAAAGGAGAACATCTGAACTCAAACCACAAATATTAAAACAGCATCAGATTGAAACAACAGATGCCGCAGATTTCAGCTACAAAACTGGATGAAGCAAATCGCCGAATTCTACAACCATCACATTACTGTCACCAAGATTCATATTCCACCAAGTCATTCAATAAGTGATATGATAGTCATGCCATGGTGATGTTAACACTTAACACCAGGACATGACATAAAACAGAGGTTACAAAGGAAAATAACTGAACCTGGACATGGACACATGAGACAAATCAAGTAACAGTACTGATCTAACTGGCAGAAGCACATCTGTTCTCGAGAAGAATTCACAAAGACCATCATTCTAAAAGGAAAAGACCATCTCAAATTCTTAACTACTACCACTTCAGGAGTGATTGCTATAGCTTCCCACTAACTTACATACTGATCCAAGATGAAAGCTACATATATATCTCAATAAAGAATTTTAGTTTGGATATTATAGTACATCAGTTTCATTGCACATCAAAGTGGCATATCCTTGGCATCGACTATCGACCATATTGAAGGGTGTATATACATTAAATCATCCACAATCATATCACAGGATGGTCATGAGTTTGCACATCAAGGAGTTTAGTACTTGACAAAAATTACACAATACCAAAGAAGATGGGACGACGACGCTAGGCAGAAGAGTAGAAGATCTAACGATAGTAATTACGGGGATAGTTGGACCCTGCCTCAGGTTCCACCAACTTCCTCGACGCAGACGGAGGAGGCGTGGAGGGCGCCGACACGGGTGCCGCAGCCTGACCGCTTCTTTCGTTTCCCGGTGATCATCGCCCACATCGGCTTGACCGCCTTGACCTCAGAGCTACTGCCGGCCTCCTTCGACCCATCTGCACAGCCCCCGCCCTCTACCTTGACCTCCCCTGCGCAGCCCCCACCCTCCACCTTGACCTCGCCTGCAATGCTCAGATCCCCAACCTTTGCCTCGCCATCACAATCCCCGTCCTCCTCCTCCTTGACATCGCCTGCAGAGCACCAGTTCCAACCCTTGTCCTTGACCTGTGCATTGAAGGAAAGCTTCAGCCTCAGCTTCAACGGGAGGGCGAACGGCTTAGCTGGCAGAGGAGGCGGCGAGATGGCCGGCTTGGCAGGCTCAGGCGGAGGAGGAGGAGGCGGCGGCGAGGTAATCTGCTTGGCAGGCTGTGGCATGGGAAGACGCAGGATGGTCGGCTTGGCAGGCTGCGGCATGGGAAGACGCAAGACGGTCGGCTTGGCAGGCTCTGGCGGCGGGAAGGAGAAAGGGAAGCCGGTGGCGCCGTCAGCCGGGCGGCGGCTCCCGCTGATGCGGATCTTGGCGGCGTCGTAGGCTGCTGCGGCCTCCTCGGCGGTGTCGAAGGTGCCGAGCCAGAGGCGGCGGCCCTGGATCGGGTCGCGGATCTCCGAGGCGAACTTGCCCCAGCGGCGCTGGCGCACGCCGCGGTACCGCACCGAGGGCGTGCGCGCCCCGGTTGCCTGCGGCTGCGGCGGCCCCGAGTCGTCCCTCCTCCCGGCCTCCATGACGCGGCGGCGCTTCTTGCGCTCCCTCCGGCGCTCCTCCTTGGTCGTCGGCATCGGGGCCAGCGGCGGCGGCGCCGACTCGTCCTCGCTGGAGGAGGAGTCGGTGGCGTCGGCGTCGTGCACGATGATCCGCACCACGCGGCCCCTCGGCTGCGCCTCCGCCGCCTCCGCCTCCGCCTCCGCCTCCGCCGCAGCCGCAGCCGCCGCCGCCGACTCCATCCCTGCCGCGGCGGCCAGCATGTCCAGGCTAGGGTTGGGCCCCATGCCTCGGGTCCGGGCGGGTCAATCCATGGTCGCGCGGATCGGGGGCTGGCGCTCAGCAGCCACGGCGCCCCGCCATGGGAGCGCGTGCGGCGGCGGCGGCGGTGGGGGAAGGGCTAGGGTTAGGGTTTGGTCCGTCGGTGGGTGGGGCGGGTGCGGCGGGGGTGTTGGTGGCGTGCGGTTGTGGGGTTGCGGTGGAAGCCGGAGGACGAGTGGCGGAGGAGGCGGGGGCTAAAAGCAAAAAAGGGTGGGGAGCACGGGCCGGTCGGTTCAGGGGCACTCTCGGGATTTCCCTCCCCTCCCCTCCTCTCCTCCCGGGCCTGGCTCGGGAGTATCGCGGCACGGATCAAACGGAGGGCGGGGATATTCCCGAGGGTTTGGGACTCGTACCGGAGGAAAGAAATGGGGAGGCGAAGTTCAAATTCGTGGGGTGGACCGGACCGGCTCGTGGCCGAGGAGGATAAGAACGACCACTTGGAGGTTTTCAAATGGTCATTACTGGCAATTTGGGATAAACCATGTGGACCGAGACTAGACGCATCTGCTTCACCCAAAGCTTGGAGCAAAAGAAAAACGTACCTCTAGAAGAAACAACGACGACTGTAACACGTCTTTTAGTCTTAAAAACAAGTTAGGGTAGGCTAGAGGTGACGCACATAGAATCCCGCAATCAACTCACGATTCTGCTACCTGGATAGCAAAGCTTCCACGCAACCCTCTCCATGCCTGGTTCTCTTGCGAGATCTCTCTTTATGGACTTCTCTCATGTCAAGTTTGGTTTACCTGACCTCTTTTGACATTATCAGCACGTTTTAGTTGTCCGCTATGCACCGAAACTTTTGGAGGTCTGTGATGAATATGCCCAAATAATATCAAACGACGTCGGTGCTACCCAGCTCTATATATCATCATTCCGAACTTGGTCCTTTCTTGTGTGGCCACGCATCCATCTCAACATGCGCACCTCCCCACACCTAACTGTTGAACATGTCGCCTTTTAGCCGGCCAACGCTTAGCGCCATACAACATTGCAGGTCGAACCGTGATACGTCTCCGTCGCTTATATATTTTTCCATACATGTTTGCTCTTGTTTTGAACTCTAATTTACATGATTTGAATGAAACTAACCCGAACTGACGTTGTTTTCAGCAGAACTATTATGGTGTTGTTTTTTGTGTAGAAATAAAAGTTCTCGAAATTGGACAAAACTTTTTGAAGATTTTTTGTGGAATATAAAAAAAAGTACTGGAGCAAAGACCCACTAAAGGGGGGCCACCTGCTGCCCACGCCCTGGTGCCTCGTGGGGCCCACGAGGCTTCGCTGACCCTAATCTCGGCACTATAGATTCTTATTTCCCGAGAGAAAAATAGGGAAGGAAGTTTCATCGTGTTTTACAATACAGAGCCGCCGTCACCTCCTATTCTTCATCGGGAGGTCAGATCTGGAGTCCGTTCGGGGCTTCGGAGGGGGGATCCTTCGTCATCATCATCATCATCAACCATCCTCCATCACCAATTTCATGATGCTCATCGCCGGGAGTGAGTAATTTCCTTATAGGCTTGCTGGACGGTGATGAGTTGAATGAGATTTATCATGTAATCGAGTTAGTTTTGTTAGGGCTTGATCCCTAGTATCTACTATGTTCTGAGATTGATGTTGCTATGCTTAATGCTTGTCACTAGGACCCGAGTGCCATGATTTCAGATCTGAACCCTTTATGTTTTCATGAATATATTTGTGTTATTCATTATATCTTGCAAGTTATACACACCTATTACGTGTTATGATCCACATACTCCAAGGTGACAATAATTGAGATTCTTTTCGATGATTATTGTAGTTTGAGGAGTTCATTTATTCATCATGTGTTAATGTTTTGTTTCAGTTCTCTATTAAAAGGAGGCATTAATATCTTTTAGTTTTCTCATGGACCCCGCTGCCAAGGGAGGGTAGGACAAAAGATGACATGCAAGTTCTTATCGCAAGCACGTATGACTATATGCGGAATACATGCCTACATTATATTGATGAATTGGAGCTAGTTCTGTGTCACCCTAGATAATAACTGTTACACGATCAATGTTACCAATGCTTACGAGTTTTTCACATATTGATGTTTGCTAAGTTAATATTATTGCTACTGTTGTCACAATTGCTACAAAACTATTACTGCTACTGTTACTACCGCTGCTATCACTAACAAACTATCATATACTACTATGCTACTGATCACTCTGCTACAGATATTTAGTCTCCAGGTTTGGTTGAATTAACAACTCAACTGCTAATACTTGCAAATATTTATTTGGCTCCTCGTGTGTCGAATTGATAAATTTAGGTTGAATATTTTACCCTCGAAAACTATTGTGATCCTCTATACTTGTGGGTCATTAAGACATTTTTTTCTAGCGTCGTTGCCGGGTAGCATAGATCTATTTGATGAGTCACTTGTGATTTATATATATTGGTCACTATGAAGAATCTGAAAGATGATAGAACCAAGATCGTTCCCCCTAGGACGAGGGGAGGTAAGGAACTGTTACCTGGCTCTGCACTCAGGGACGAAGCTAGAAAAAATGGGCACTGGTGTCAAGCTTTGTCCACTCTAGCACTAACTATAGCGGCGCAACATACATAATGTTGGAGTGCGGCATAAAGAGAGAATATATACAATGATTCAGTAATATTATTATTAAATCAAAAAAGTCATACCGAGTACAGGCTAAGCGAAGTCATAAAGCAAAAAGGTTAACTTCAAGCACTTCAGTTGTTACCTTCTGAAAAGAATGAGCAAAAGAACATATTATATTTACAACAATGTTAAGAAAAAACAAACTAAAATAAATATCATTAAGTAAAAATATAGTGACATGATGCTCACATTTTATAACTTCCCTTCTCAATCTTCCATCTTCTTAAATGGATCAATCACATCATCATTTGTAATAGTAGAAAATATATCTTTCTCCACATGGAAAATCGATACATGACTATGATCTTGTCTACTAAGTGACCTTGAAGTCCCTGCTGCGACAGATGGCAGTGGCCGTTTCCACAAAAATCTGTCCATAACCTCCTAGTCGTAGATGAATGTCGTACATGAATCAAGGAAGAGAAGATCAAAAGATTCTAATTAGTTCAGTTATGAAATTTAGTCTAAAGGCTGAAGGTAATACACATGCGTGTCATGAGGCATACCTGGGAAGAGCAAATCTAGGCTTGGTGGATTAGCACCAAATTATGCCGCAACAATCGGCCGGCCGGCGTCTCCAGATTAGACCAAAATCCCGTTGATCCGTACGCTCGTCTCTCTGTAATTCCATCAGGTGGCATGAGCAAGGAATTATCACACCGGAAGGGGATTGAGAGGAGGCGATGAGATGAAGAGAGAGAAACTTGGTGGGGCACTTTTGGGCTGTGCGCAGCGGCAAATAGGAATTTGGTGGAACGACCACAGATCTTTTTAGGGACAGTGGGCTTCTATGGCTGGGCTGGAATTAGGTTGTGCTTCGGGCTTCTCCGGCTGGGCTGGGGTCAATCATCTTTTTGGACTGGGGTCAAAGACAAATCATATTAACAAGATAACTTGAGGTTACTATTGGCACTGGTGTCAGTTGACACCAGTCCTTACACGGGAGCTCCGTCTCTGTCTGCACTTAGTTCATCTTCTGTTTTAAGTAAGTTTGTGACAGCATCACCTGCTATTAATTTCGATGTCGCAAGTAATTGATGATGTTACTTCTGCTATGAATGATGCTAGTACTTTGCTTGATGACACTATGCCACTAGGTGAATTTCTTGACGAACAACTTGCTAAAGCTAAAGAATTTAAGAACACCGAAACTGATGAAATTACCGAAACTGAGAATTACGATTCACCTATCTTTGCTACTTCATCTATCTTTGTTACTGATAAGTATTACGAATTCTCTGTCGATCTTGAGTTAATTATTTTGGTTGAATCTAATTCTTTCTATGGTTATGAAACTGAAACCGTCGTGGCACACCTTACTAAGTTGAATGATATAACTACACTATTTGCTCATGAGAAAAAATTGCTATTATTATATTCTTAAATTGTTTCGTTTTTCGTTAAAGGGTGATGCTAAAATATGGTTTGAATATTCTTGCTCCTGTTTGTGTGCGTAGTCCCTAGGATATGATTTATTATTTCTCTGAAAAATATGTCTCTGCTCATAAGAAACAAGCTATCTTACAGGGAATATATAGCTTTGTGCGAACTGAAGAAGAGAATCTCCCTCAAGCTTGGGGGAGACTTCTCCAACTACTTAATGTTTTGCTTGATCATCTTTTTAAGAAAAATAAAATACTTGATATCTTTTATGATGCACTAACTGATATTTTTATGGACTACCTAGATAGTTGTGTTGGTTGTGTTTTCAGGGAACAAACTATTGAACAAGCTGAAGAACTATTGAATAATATATTGAAGAATGATAATGACTAGACACTTCGTGAACCACCATCCAACCAACTTCGAAGAAGAGAGACATTCTATTTCTCAATTCTGAAGATATGCAAGAGGCAAAGAAGTCAATGAAAGAAAAAAAATGTAGTTTAATTGTTCTATGATTGTAAGTGGCGGCACGGTTAATTTTCATCCCTTGTTATGAATAAAATGTGTGACATAGAAGAAAAACTCTGATCCACTGGTAAGTGGGTCCTATTTAAAGGAAAATTAGTGGAGGCCGAATTTTAGCGACTTTGACTTTGTTGTCAATCATTTCAACCTTCATATTTCTTGGTGATCACCTTTATATCATTTACGGTGAACCATATCTGAACGACTCGGCTAGAATTGCTCTTATACCCTAAAGGCCGCAATTTCATATTTTTCTCTCCCCAACTACGTAGCACCAAAGACCAGCCCAACATAAATTGCAACATGATTAATAGAGTGGTTGTGAATAGAACCCACCACATGATGTCATGATGCTTTTTCTAGGGTGATGGCCAGAGAAAAAGAGAGGTAAACATACTG